TTCAACTTTAAACAAAGTTTTTTCCTGTCCAAGAAGGACATATGAACTGTTGGATATTTTTGTTTAAAACATGTCAGATATCCTCCTCTCTCACAATGGACAGTAAAAGATAAATCAAGGAGCTTCAGCTTATCTGTAGTGATGTTGCTTCAAAGTGGGTCAAACCACTCTGGTCTGTTGATAACTTCCCAGATCCGTTTTAAGATATTGTAGAGAGTTTTAAAGGCACCATTTTTTTAAATCTTGATTTACCGCAGATGTACAAGTACGGTATAAAGGATCTAGAGCCCTCAGCCCATAATCAACAGTTAATCATCAATTAAAGACACGTGCAGTGAACCTACAAGCTGACAAGATGGACTTTGTTCTACAGTTATCTGTTTATATAGTAAACAATGTTAAGGAAATTGTTAAATATTCTTGGCAGCAATGTTAAGCTAGTTTAAATATTTTCATTTATTAGAAATTGTTGACTGTTCACAGATTTTTATATGTTACCTCATAAAGTAACACGTGAGAAAAGGGTGGCCATAATTTCTTTGAGCACAAAGTTAGAGTAATATGCAGCATTTAAACTCACACCCTCTTCCTCAAAATTAGTTGGTCTTGTGCTCAACCCTATTCTGGTGCTCCTGCTAAGTTGTCACCCCACAGAATACGATAATTGTAGGTTTGTGTTGTTAAAATTATTGTTTATGCTGCTTTTGTTTATAATATATATATAAAATAATTTTCCACCTCTCCCGATGACATCAGCAGCAGAAGTGATGATATCATTAAAGGGATAGTTCAGTTTTTTTTTCTGATGCCTTCATTGGATATTACTCACTTCTACACAAAATAATGAAATAGTCTAAAAATTCGTTTTTACCATGAGTCATTATGGCAAAGGGCAAAATGTGGTTAAAAATACATTTATTTTTCTTTATATTTTTCAGGTTGTGTGGAGGTTTCTAGAGAACCAAAATGCAGAGATGGAAGCTGAATTGGTTTCTTGCAGATGCAGAATATCCAAAGGGTGGAAACTGAGGCAAAAATCCAAAAATAACAAAACACAGAAAACCAGGAGACATTGAGGAAAACACACATGAGGAGCTAAGAAACAACGAAAATCCCAGCAAAGAGTAACTGTACAGGAGTTGTACCCTAATTCGAAACACTGTTTCCTGTCTCTCAGGTTGCCTCATACCTTGCAGGGTATGGCTTGGATTACCCTACTTGATCTTTTGGTTCCCATGTGTTCTCAGGCTGCTGAAAGATGCTGCATGTGCTCTCCTATATGTCTGGTGCTGGCTTAGAAAAAAGCATGCTTTAAAACATGCATGTTAGGTTAATTTCCTTTCTCTAAATTCTCTTTCGGAGTAAGTGTGTGCGTGAATGGTTGTTTGTCCTGTTTGTCACTGTGTTGCCCTGCGATAGACTGGCAACCTGTCCAGGGTGCCTCTTCCCGCCTCTCGCCCTTAGACAGCTGGAGATAGGCACCAGCACCCCTTGAGACCCCACTTCAAGTGTGTCAGGAAATGGATGGAACTTTAAAACTATTCCTTTGGCAGCATCTGATAACTGTTCAATCATCCTATAGCATATGCTATCTTTACCTGAGATGTATGCTTACCTCCAATGAAAGATCTATTAATTTTAATCAATGTAAAATCTTTATCTTAAACACCTCCTTCTTTCTCTTTCCTATTTAAAATTTCTCTATTAGCTTCAATCATTTTCAATCTCCATCATAATTCGTCATTTAATAAATTTTGAGAGATATGCACTTTCAAAAAGACTTAGCAAACATCTCTGCTTTTTCCTTGTTTCTTATAGCTCCACACTGATTATCTTAAATTCTTGGTAAAGAAAAATTCCTTCTAATCCCTTCTAATTCCTCCCATCTTTCCATCATTCCCCAGATCTCGTTTACTTTAAGTTCTGTTCCAATTGTACAACAAAAACCCCTCCAATAATTCTTTTTAGATTATTTAACTATTTTCCTAACTTTATACTGTGCTTATTTGTATAATATTAAACTATGAAATGAATGATAGGGGAGTGGCAGCTAGTGGTTAGGGCATAGAGCTTGGAATCCTGAGGTTCAAGCCCCACTCTCACAGACCGCCACTGTAGGTTTTTGACCAAAAGTCTTAACCCCCAAAACTGCTGCCTCACGATGGCAGCCTACTGCTCCTCAAGGGGATGGGTTAAACCCAGAGGTACATTTCTCCAATATGAGATCAATAAAGTTACATTATTATTATTTAATAAAATGCTTTAATAAAAATCTAAATGTTTTATTCCTAACTTAAATAGCTTCTGTACATTCATTGTTTCAACAAGGAACCATTTTATCTTCCTTTAATCCAGTTTATTTCTCCATGGCCTTTTCTGCAGATTCATATTTGCAATCACTGAATTTACTTCTTCAATATCGTTGCTTAAGTTTGGCGTAATTCCCAATTAGCTTCACTCATTCTCGACTTAGGATACCAATTTCCTTCAACTACTACCTTAAAATTATACAACTTAAGCAGAATAGGATGATGATTGCTTCCAAGGAGGTTATCATTAATTACTTGACTAATTCCTGCTATGTGATCTGACACTAGAGTAAGATCAATTGCAGATTCTGCTCCATGTCCTGTATCAAATCTAGTACATCTTCCATCATTTAGACAAGTTAACTTATAATCATCCATAAATTCCTCAATTATGTTCCCATTTTCATCAGTCCTTTTACTTTCCCATAAGGTATTATGAGCATTAAAATCTCCACATGAAATATTTCTTTCATTTTCGTTCACATAATCAAGTCTTTCTCTTTTTTTTGCAAGAGTCAAAAAAATTTTAGAATGTTACATTTTTATTTACTAATCCATACCTCAACCCCAATTACTTATATTTCTTTATTGATATTCAAAACTGAATTACTAATTCCCTGCGGAACCAATGGATTTCTATCTTTACATAGTGCTATATATCCATTAGGAATAAAATCAATTGATGGTTTTAACCAGGTTTCTTGAATACAGACTGTATTTGGTTAAACATTCTGTCTTTCAATAAAAAAAACACCTCTTGGCCATAAGCACTTAAGCTTCTTGCATTCCACTTTAATATGGATAAAATCATCAAGTTTCATCTTTATTGCACTGTTGACTTTCGTGTATCCCAGTTGTTAAAACTGCAATTTGATTCAAAAGACAAGACGACCATCTCAAGGTATTTTTCTGCAGCTTGAAATATTTTAATTATCTCTGTTCTACTATCTGTCTGTGCTGAACAATTTACTTCCATAATAAATGCAACAAATTTATTTTTCTCCACAATCATTGTACTTCGTAAGGTTCTCTGGCTCTGCCTTTACTCTGTTGTTTGAGATGGAGTTTGGTGCACAGAAATGCTTTTAGCATTAACATTGAACTTACCATCTGCATAGGTAACTTTTTCTTTTACGCATACAGTATATGTTGTACCTGCTCTGCTCTTTTTTAAGCTTCACATCCTTTAAATGCAGCACTATGTTCCCCACCACAATTACAACACTTAACTTAGTTCATTTAGAACATTTCCCATACTCCCCTCTCCCCTCCAGATTAGGGATTCCAGGCATTAGCTCAGCAAGCAGCAGCAATATGTCCAAACCTTTGACATTTGCAGCATCTGGTTGGTGGAGGAATGTATCGCCTCATTGTTTAACGGAGACACCCAATCACTTTTTGGGTAATCTATCCTCTTCTAGGAATTAAATAACTGACTTACTAGGACTTTTAACTCCTTCTCTTGTAACATCCAAGTGCTTTACTCTAATCACCCGAGCTAATTACCTTTAACCTCTTCCTTCGTCAGATCAGTTGATACTCTATATATTACTCCCATTACTTTTCCTTCTTCCTGCAATATTTGTGGCTTGATTGTCTTTCCCAATATTTTGTTTTCCATCTCACTAGTCCCTGCGCCTGATCTCTATCTCTGCATAACACCAATAAATCACCCTCTCTTAATGTTTTGATTGCTTTCAGCTCTCCTACTATTTTATATATTGCCTCAATTATTTTTAAAGGATTCAAAGCACATGGGTTCTGGAATCTAAGAATCACTTTAGTTTCATTATTTTATTTTCCTCTCTTTTTTCGTTACGAGATTTAAATCCTTTCCTTTTCTTATTTCTTCGGTTCACTGTTTGCCAGTCTCCCGTTTTTGCACTTCTTTTACAATAATCACTTTTCATACTACAATTATCTGAGTCATCTAATTCTTCGCATTCTTCCATCACACGTCCTCATTTAAAATAATCTAGAATGAACTACAAATTACACCTTTGACGCTTAAACCTGTTGTCAACTCTCATTGTTATGTATTTCATATACATTACAAAGGGTTTTTGTTCCAAGTGATCTCTTCTCATGAAATAATCAGGGAGATAAAGCTTAATGGTGTAAACATGGAGCCCATTGTAATCCAATACACACAAAAAAAAATCTGCATTTTAGCTGTTTAATGTGATTATATTGGCCTGTATTTTCAAGATGCATACAGGGAGTAAGAAAATAACAGCAGCCAGTAACTTATTTTATGTTAAACAAGAATTTGAAATCGCTCTCACCCCTGCTTTTTGATTAATCCAACAGTGACAATAATTTCATTCCAAAGGCTTTTTCATAATCTGTTGTTCTGATATTTATGGGTTAAATCAAATTATGTATTTTCATGTGTATATGCAACAGACTGCACATATTAAACTATTTGACTTCAAACTAGATGGTAGATGCTCAAGAAGGCTTTAATAAAAAGCCCTCTTTTCTGTTAAATTCCCTGAGATTCCCCTAATAAGGTGTGTGCTCAGCCCCTCGCAGAATTTTTAAAACTGAGAAATTCAAAGTAAGTTGTACGAAATTTAAGTTAATGAAAAAATAATTAAGAGAAAGATTTCATGGATGTTGTTTGTGTTTCCAGCCACTAGATGGAGCCTGGCACATTTTTATTGTGTTCTGCTGAGGTATCAGCAGAAGAAGAACGAATGTGCAGAGGAAAAAAGACCATTGCTAAGCTAAAGTCGGGCTCAGTCTGTTCTTACTGATAAAGACCATAAAACAACAGAATTAATTAAACATGAACTACTGAAGCTAAGTTCTTCTACCTTCTTCGGATAAAGAGGCTACTTTTTTCCTCCCAGGGACAGAAACGGAGGAACAGACAGGGATCCGCTCAGTGAGTAACTGCTGCACACTCAGCAGGTCACTCAGCTGCATCATGTCCGCAGTCTGCGCTCTGATGAAGGGACACTTCCAAATTTAGGATGAATTCACCATCTGACTCTGATGTTCCGGAGTCTGGGCCCCGATTCAGCTGATCTAATTAGCAGGAACGTGTTGATGCTAATGATCATTGATTGGAGACTCAGAACCACATTTCACTGTAGCAGATTGTTAGAAATAGGAAAGAAATACCACTTGCGCTGTGGTAAGCTTCTGAAGATACGAGGCTGTGTGTTATTCCAAAAAAATGCCAGAAAGAAGCTTTCAAAACTAGAAAAGCAGGAGAGGGTGGAGGGCAGGGGCGGTTCTAGACCAAATGTACCAGGGGGCCAGCGTGTTTTCATGGGGGCAAAGAAAGGCATGATGTAAAAAACATATATTAAGAGAGCTGCATGAAGTGAAATTTCTATTCGATTAGGTTTAATCAAAATCCTATTTCTTATTAGGTCAATATACATTCATAATTCTGGAATTTTACATATTTCTTTATTTTAATGTAAGTCAAAATGACAATTTTTTTTACTCAAATCTGAATTAGAAATCAAGAAAATCTGATAAATTCAGCTGTAAAATTAGAGCATTTCTTTTTATTTGTATTAAAAAAAACATTTAGCAGATGAAACCTGAGTTCTTATCTAAACACCACTGATGCTATCACCTTATTGTTTTTAAATAATTAGTAAAAAATAATTTGTAAAGAAAAAAATGAAATGGATCCAAAGGACCTATCAGTAACCCTGTCTATTCCAGCACATATCATCGTTAGAGTATAGGGCTCGGGATCCACGTTGCATTGTGGGACGTCGCGGTCATATTGACGGCTACGCAAACGTAAACATAGCTCTGATACAACGCTGTTGTTGAAAGAAGAGACAGAAGTAGAGAGAAAAAAGATGTTAAAATCCCGAAAAGGATCTGGAATTTACCGGGACACATTAAATAGAGAAGCCAGGGACCGGTATGGTGACAAAATCAGCATTATTAATCATTTGGATCCATATAAAGTTCCAAACAATGAGTGGAGCACCGATGACCGAGCGCCTATACTTCAAAACAGTTCCGAAGCTACATGTCCTTGGAGTCTCATGTGCAGTTCATGAATGGATGGGTTCAGGAGCTGCAGATCATAAAGCCATCAAACAGTGGGAACACAGTAATTCGTACGAAGGTAAGCTGTGATCAGACGGGCCTGTCATTACCCGATCCGTACCGGAAGCACGATCCGTACCATCAGCTCATTTGCGCGTGCGCAAACAGAATAACTTCCGGTGGCCTTTTTCTTACTTTTTTATTCTTTTTTATTTTTTAGAGGCATGGGTTTCTTTTTGTATATCTTTGTATTTTCGTCAATATTGCATTTTCTAAAAATAAAAAAACAGAAATACATAAAAAAAGTTCAATCGCCTTGTGATAGTTACTTTGACTGCTCTGAGCATGCGCAAATATACCTCACACAGCGTATATATTTAAATTTGTTTAAATATTTGATTTACTCTGTACTTAACTATGCACTCCAGCAGTACTAATCCCACAATGGATTCATTTGCTACCTTTCGTGACCTGCAGTTTTTCATTGATAAGGGAACATTTCCCGAAAATTTGGATTTTTATTCCAGAAAAATGACGTCAAGCAATAACAATGGATTGAATTTAAAAAGCATCCATTTCTTCCAGAAAAGTCTTCAATATTGTCTTTACGATGTAGTTTAGTATTCTTTAATTATTTAAGGATATAAATAAAGTTTTTTCAGTACCGTAATTACATTATTTTTTGGCAACCCGGAAGTTATTCTGTTCGCGCAGGCGCAAATGAGCTGATGGTACGGATCGTGCTACCGGTACGGATCGGGTAGCGACAGGGCCCTGGAACCTGCTAGTTTAGCAACTGCTAACCGCTAGTGCTAACAACCACTCACGCATGTAATGTACTTTTAACTAGCTGCTATGTGTTTCAAAGGTGTAGTTAGTAACGTTAACTGCCAACCCTCCGGGTTTCTCACGTATTTGAGCATTTTCCCGCTGCCGTTTTTAAATATTTTCCCGTAAAAGATCTCAACTTTGAAGGAAAGAAACAAAGTAGGCTATAAAATAAAACCGTGCATCTTTAACTTACCAGAATGAAAATGCAGTGAACACACTCTCAATGACATTGGAATACTGTGGAAAGTTATGTTCGGTCGTCTTACAGCCGCGATCCAAGCTAGCCGACGACTCTTTATCTCTGACGCTTGGTCTCCATGGTTACGCGTCCATTCAGGAAAGCGGTGGAAAGTTAACCCATTTTCTATGTTTCCATGGCGATCATGCGTTGAGCTGTTACAGCCCACAATACAGCAACGGTTTACCATGGTTGAAATCAAGTTAAGGTGAAATTAATCAAATTAAAACACGGCTGAGAGGGAGTACAGTACCCGGTAGTCATAGGCAGTAGTCTGAGCCGCGGTAAAAGACGCATTCAACATGGCGGCGACGCGAAGTGCCTACGTCACGACGACCAAGCCCTATTATATCATCAGTACTGGGGACATAACAGGGGCCAGGACATGATCTATAGGGGCACTGGCCCCTGTTGGCCCTTGTCTAGAACTGCCCACGGTGGAGGAGGAGGGTATGACTAGCATCCATTACTGGCTGCAAGAATCCAGCTGCGGTTCTAAAAGGTGTGCTACGGTATCAGGTCGGTAGAAGAGCAGGAAGATCTCAGCCTTGCTGATGGTCACTGAATTGGAAATGTTCTGGTCCAGCATCACTGCCCTGCAGATGTTCTGTCTCCTTTAATTAATTAATTAAGTATGTAATTTTCAGTAACATTTAGGGCAGAATGCAGCGAGAATAACTCCCACCCCACTTCCTCTCCCCTCAGATATAAAGGCCATCATGGTACAGGATGGCTTCTCTAATACCCACTTTACCTATCTTGTCAAGTTATTACGAGGATTGTTTACATTAGATCACAGCATCAAATCCAAAAATTCTTCAATACTGTTGTCTCATATACAATGATCAAGTATGACAATTTGGAGATGAGGAAGTATCATAAATTGACCACTGTTTTAGAGGAGGCGGCAGCTTAGACAAGCTTTTTTAATCACAATGTAAGATAGAGAAAATAATTTTGACAAATAATAATAAAGCAGGGAATGCTCTAGAGAGGTTTGTACATAGCTTTTATTTAGCCCTAGGAGGACTGTTTTGTGGTCCTACCTCCCAGCACAGACACTGGGCAGCTGCTGCTTCTTCTCAGTTATCCTCTTTTCACCTCCAGCAGTTGCCTTAATTCACAGAGAATTGCATATTTATCAGTGGCTTCTAAGACTTCGTATAGATTTGTTTTATATTCAGAAAACTATCTTTATAAGTACTACTGTTTCATCTTAAGGACATAAAAAAGTTTTGCCTCCATCATATATATTTTGAGTAGGGCTGAGACAATGAATCGGATTAAACATGATTAATCGATTATTGAAATAATCTTCAACTAATTTAGTAAACGATTATCGGTTAACTGGAGTATACCATCTTAGAGCTGTACTTACCTCAAAATTTGTAAAAAAAAAAATCTACAAATATTTAGCATTTAAGATAAAATATTCTGCCGTTCTTCTTTAATTAATTATTAATTGATTAATGGGAAGAATAATTGACAGATTAATCGATTTGTTAAATAATTAGTGGGAGCCCTAATCCAGACCTTATACATCCTCACATTATATATACAGTGAGGAAAATAAGTATTTGAACACCCTGCTATTTTACAAGTTCTCTCAATTACCGTGAGACTACACTGTGAGAGACATACAGGTGCTGGTCATAAAATTAGAATATCATGAAAAAGTAGATTGATTTCAGTAATTCCATTTAAAAAGTGAAACTTGTATATTATATTCATACATTACATACAAACTCATATATTTCAGATGTTTATTTTGTTTAATTTTGATGATTACAAATGACAACAAATGAAAATCTCAAATTCATCATATCAGAAAATTAGAATATTGTGAAAAGGTTCAAAATTGATGGCCCCTGGTGCCACACTCTAATCAGCTAATTAACTCAAACCACCTGCAAAAGCCTTTAAATGGTCTTTCAGTCTAGTTCTATAGGCTACACAATCATGGGGAAGACTGCTGACTTGACAGTTGTCCAAAAGACGACCATCGACACCTTGCACAAGGAGGGCAAGACACAAAAGGTCATCGCTAAAGAGGCTGGCTGTTCACAGAGCTCAGTGTCCAAGCACATTAATAGAGAGGCGAAGGGAAGGAAAAGATGTGGTCGAAAAAAGTGTACAAGCAAGAGAGATAACCGCACCCTGGAGAGGATTGTGAAACAAAACCCATTCAAAAATGTGGGGGAGATTCACAAAGAGTGGACTGCAGCTGGAGTGAGTGCTTCAAGAACCACCACACACAGACGTATGAAAGACATGGGTTTCTGCTGTCGCATTCCTTGTGTCAAGCCACTCTTGAACCACAGACAGCGTCAGAATCGTCTTGCCTGGGCTAAAGAGAAACAGGACTGGACTGCTGGTGAGTGGTCCAAAGTCATGTTCTCTGATGAAAGTAAATTTTGCATTTCCTTTGGAAATCAAGGTCCCAGAGTCTGGAGGAAAAGAAGAGAGGCACTTCATCCACGTTGCTTGAAGTCCAGTGTAAAGTTTCCACAGTCAGTGATGGTTTGGGGTGCCATGTCATCTGCTGGTGTTGGTCCATTGTGTTTTCTGAGGTCCAGGGTCAACGCAGCCACATACCAGGAAGTTTTAGAGCACTTCATGCTTCCTGCAGCTGACGAACTTTTTGGAGATGCAGATTTCATTTTCCAACAGGACTTGGCACCTGCACACAGTGCCAAAGCTACCAGTACCTGGTTGAAGGACCATGGTATCCCTGTTCTTAATTGGCCAGCAAACTCTCCTGACCTTAACCCCATAGAAAATCTATGGGGTATTGTGAAGAAGAAGATGCAATACACCAGACCCAACAATTCAGAAGAGCTAAAAGCCACTATTAGAGCAACCTGGGCTATCATAACACCTGAGCAGTGCCACAGACTGATCGACTCCATGCCACGCCGCATTGCTGCAGTAATACAGGCCAAAGGAGGCCCAACTAAATACTGAGTGCTGTACATGCTCATACTTTTCATGTTCATACTTTTCAGTTGGCCAACATTTCTATAAATCCTTAGTTTTTATTGGTCTTCAGTAATATTCTAATTTTCTGATATGATGAATTTGAGATTTTCATTTGTTGTCATTTGTAATCATCAAAATTAAACAAAATAAACATCTGAAATATATGAGTTTGTATGTAATGTATGAATATAATATACAAGTTTCACTTTTTAAATGGAATTACTGAAATCAATCTACTTTTTCATGATATTCTAATTTTATGACCAGCACCTGTAATCTAAAAGAAAAAAAAAAGAAATTTTATATTTTTTATTATTTGTATGTTACTTCTGCAAATGAGTATTTGATAACCTGTGAATATCAATATTAATATTTGGTACAGTAGCCTTTGTTTGCAATTACAGAGGTCAAACGTTTCGTGTAGTTTTTCCATCAGGTTTGCACACACTGCAGGAGGGATTTTGGCCCACTCCTCCACACAGATCATCTCTAGATCAGTCAAGTTTGTGGGCTGTCACTGAGAAACATAGAGATGAGCTCCCTCCAAAGATTTTCTATTGGGTTTAGGTCTGGAGACTGGCTAGTCCACATCAGAATCTGGATATGCTTAACAGAGCCATTCATTGGTTATCCTGGCTGTGTGCCTCAGGTCATTCTGTCTCTGTGTGGTGTGTAGCCTGTCTGTCACTTTCCCTTTTTTAATTGTATGGTGAAGGGGGTTGTTTTGGTTTGCCTTTCTCTTGAATAGCTGTTCAGTTAGCAAAACTATTATGTTTATCTAAGGCTTCAACTTGTATGTTAGATCCAGTTCCAACCAAGTTATTTAAGAAAGTATTCCCCCTGATATCTACCTCCATTTTACATATGATTAATCTATTCCTGTTTCAGGGATATGTACCTATGGTGTTTATGGTAGCTGTAATTAAACCTTTACTGACCTGCAACCACCAAAAACATACCTCGCTTAAAGCCCAGGCAGTGCAAGCTCAACATTTGTAAACCCAGACTAACTAGAGCTAGGATTCCTACTAAATCTTATTATTAATGAAAGAGCTCATGTGTATAGGCTTCAATCTGTGTTAAATTTCCTTTTTGGAAATATAAAACCCATTTTTACCTAAAAACCCCATCAATATTAGCCTGTCATGATGGTGATCCCAATTTAGATTTATGCACCAAAAGTAACGACATCGACTGGGTTTGTCCAAGTAATTGATTTATCGGTGACATGACCAACTACCCGTGTGGCCTGAGGGATGAATCTCCTGAACAAACCTGCCAAGCAAAAATGACCCAAAAAATGCAGGTGGAGACACAATAATTGAACATACTGGTAATAAATGTCTTGTGAGCACCCCAGCTACAGAAGCTCTGTTACCATATTAACAGTATGATGCGTTAACCAAACAATGTTTTTTTCCATTCCCCTAGGTTCAGTGATCCACAACAAAACTTGTGCCAAGTCTCCGTGTTGCTGTATGCAAGATTGAGTCCAGGTTCTTCTGAGTGGGCTGTGAAGACCAGAGGATCCAGAAACACCACCGGGGTGAGACCTTCTGACAGTGCTTCCTGGAGCTCTGAACCTGATGTCTGATTTGTTGAGGAATTTTCATTTATCAAAGAGGGAGAGAACACTTCTCAGTAAGAAAGAAGAAGATCGATTTGGTCTTTGCACATTTATTTCAAAGGCATACAGCTTTTGAAAGGCTCCAGAACCCAGAGAGGCAAAAAGCACTGAAGGGAGATGTGAAACCAATTTAATACATCAGAGAGGAGGGGGTGTATGCCCCCTAGAAACTTCAAAGTGTTTCTAGTCTAAACCAGTCCGTTAGAGAAAATTCACAGTCTACGTCCGAGGAGGAATGTGCCTGACTCCAACCCCTTAAACACTGTCGGTAGCAAAGATTTAAAAAGCCATCAAGGGGCAGCATACACCATCCCTTGGAACCAAATATTGATATAATTATTAAGTTAATAATATAAAATGACTTCTCAAGATAAACAAGGTAACATGATCAGATTACATTTTTCCACTACAGATTCTTCCCACTACTTTAGCAATAAAAATGTAAAGAATCCCTTCAATTTACTCTTAAACAGGTATTTCTGCCTGGATGAGGAGAAGTAGTAGTTGAATCCATTTTTTTAATAAAGGAACTTGTTGAAACAATTTTTTTGATTGACATGACAAATATTCAATTTGTGCGTTGTAATTTTAAGGAACCGCTGCTTTCCCCGCTTAGTTGAGTCCCTCATGCTCTCATTGGTCTTCAATCTTGTGCAGGGCAGCTATTTTATAGCTATAAAGCAATTCTTAAAACAGAGTTGTGGTTGTGACCTGACAACTTTCGATCTCTGGCCTGTTGTTTTCTGTCCTAGCTACTAGCTTAAAGGAGTCAGTTCAGCTAACAATGGTATGTGTTTTAGTTTTTTATTTGTTTTTTTTTACCTGTGGGTTAGCTGTTGTTACTTACTTAGCTATCAGTCCAGTTCTTTATTCAGTTACTGGTCAATGGAAGATAAACAGAAACTATTAATGTATGTAATGAGGGAAATGTAAAACATTTTATATTTGTTTTTCTTTTTTTTTCAGATTTGCCACAAAATGATTTCTTTTATCAAGCAAGATGTTCATGCACATCACTCTATCTCCAACAAAACAGAAGTGACTGTTCTGGACCAGAGGGAAGCAGAAACTCTCAAAACTAGAGAAGATGATCTATCTAAACTTGCTCAAGTAAAAGAAGAAGAGCATGAATCAGATCATCTGCAGAATGCAAAGAAAGATGACTACATAGTTCTAAAGCAAGAGGCAGATACCTTAATGGGAACTGTGTGTAGATTTCTTGAAATAAAAGAGGAACCAGAAGAAATAGAATTGAATCAAATAGAGGGAAATAACAGTGAATTAGAATCTCAGCAGATGGTAAAGATTGAGGCTGAGGGTGTTGGTCAGAATGAAAACTGGGATGTTCTGAGGCAGGAGACAGAAACTTTAAGAGAAACAGTTTCTGGCTCTCCTGAAATAAAAATGGAACTAGAGGACCCTGACCTGAAACAAATAAAGTTAGATGTTAGTTCGGATATTGCACAAGGTGTACTAGCTTGTTATTTTTTTATCAACCATAAAGGGATCTGTGTTTTGGACAACAAGGAAATTGAATCTCTGCAAAACAAAGATGAACCAGAAGATGATGAATATTATCCTAACTCAGAATCTCAGCAACCAGTAAAGAGTGAGGTTGAAAACCAGGATGCACTGAAGCAAGAGACCGAAACCTTAATAGGAACAGATTCTTATGATGAAACAGACCACCAGCCATCTGAACTAAGTGAAAAACAAATTCCCCTCCAGAACTTTACTGAAAAGGAACATCAACAAGGATCCAGCAGAGATAAACAGCAGCTAACGAAAGGTCAGAAAACCAGACGTAAAAGTGATAAAACAGACAAAAACACAAAGGAGAACATTGTTTTCAAAGAGAAAAAATCGAAACTGTGTGAGTTGTGTAGTTTAAAATGTGAAAAATCTTTCAATCAAAAAGATAATTTGAATATGATCCCTTCTGCAGAAGAAAAACCCCATCCATGTGTAAAATGTGGAAAAAGTTTCAGTGTAAAATACAGCCCAAATACCTACATGAAAGCTCATACAGCTGAGAAGCCTTTCTTATGTGTAACCTGTGGCAAAGGGTTTACTAGAAAAACAGTGTTAAATGTTCATATTAGATCTCATACAGGAGAGAAGCCTTTCTCGTGTAATATATGTGAAAAAGCGTTCTCTGGAAGAAATAAATTGAAAATTCACATGAGAATTCATACAGGTGAGAAGCCTTACTCGTGTATTACATGTGGAAAAGGTTTCCGTAAAAAATATCATTTGACTACACACATAAGATCTCATACAGGAGAGAAGCCTTTCTCATGTATTATCTGTGGAAGAGGTTTCTCTGAAAAAAAAAAAGTGAAAATCCACATGAGAATTCACACAGGTGAGAAGCCTTTTTCATGTCAAACCTGTGGTGAAGTGTTCCGTTTTAAAACTTCTTTAAATATCCATATCGCATCTCATACTGGAGAGAAGCCTTTTTCATGCACTATTTGTAAAAGAGGTTTCAGTAAAAAGGATTATCTGACTACACACATGAGAACTCATACAGGTGAGAAGCCTTACTCATGTCAAACCTGTGGAAGAAAATTTCGTCGGAAATATGATTTAGATAGCCATATCCGAGCTCATACAGGAGAGAAGCCGTTTTCATGTAAAACCTGTGGGAAAGGGTTTAAGAGAAAAAGTGGTTTAAATGTTCATATGGGAATTCATACAGGAGAGAAGCCTTTCTCATGTGTTACCTGTGGCAAACAGTTTCGTCTTAGAAGTTTTTTAGATATGCATATTAGATCGCATACAGGAGAGAAGCCTTTCTCATGTGAAACATGTGGAAAAGGTTTCAGTAAAAAAGATCATTTGACTAGACACATAACAATTCATACGGGTGAGATGCCTTTTTCTTGTGTAACCTGTGGAAAAAAGTTCCGTATAAAGACGTCTTTAAATAGCCATATCTTAACTCATAAAGGAGAGAAGCCTTTTTTATGTATTTTATGTGGAAGAGGTTTCTTTGAAAAAAAAAGTTTGAATATTCACATGAAAATTCATACAGGTGAGAAGCCTTACTCATGTCAAATCTGTGAAAAAAAGTTCAGTCAAAAAAGTATTTTGAATGTCCATATCAGATCTCATACAGGAGAGAAGCCTTTCTCATGTAATATATGTAAACGACCTTTCAGTGAAAAAAGATTATTGAACTGTCACATGAGAATTCATTTGCAAGAGAAGCCTTTCTCTTGTATAGAATGTGGGAAAGGTTTTACTCGCAAATATAAAATGGAATGCCACATGAGAAGTCACACAAAATAGAAAGTAATTTTTTTATATAATCACATTGTTTGTGGAAGGCATAATCTTTTTGATTTTAATCCAAGTAACAGTTGTAATCAATATTATGGATAAAAGACAAAAAATGAGAAACATTGAATAGGGAAATTGAATAATAAATGTGAATGGGGTGGGAAGAGTAACAATAAACAGTATGTTTTATATTAGAATAGCATAGAAAATTCCTTTGTCCCACAATGGGGAAATTTTGGTGTTACACCAAAAGGTTATAGTAAAAGTGGTCACCAAATGTTCACATTAGAAAAGTGTATATATATATATATAACAGATAGGAAAATAAAGCAAATATAGTATTGTATTGTACAGTGCTTTCTACAATATTGTCCAAAATAATCAAGACAGACAACACACATGCATCCAAACAAAGAAAAAAACAGAAATAAAAAAACATAAGTTGAGCAGCTACAATAATCCATTCATATGTTCATTAACATAAAGCCTGTTAGCTTAACATGCTCTCAAAGCTACTAAAAGGGGCTACAATCAAACTGTTGGCAAAATATTTGAGTTAATAAAAAAAAACTTTATAAACTTATTACAACCCTTTACATGAGCCATGCAAAAAAATTTCAACCACATAATTAGGCTACATTACTCAGCAATACAGCATTCAAAACAAACTGGAAGCTGCTCAGAGCCCAGATTACAAATGCATCCACAGCACACTGTGGGGGCAGGATAGGGAGGAGCAGGAGCAAGTTACCAAGACTTAAAAAATCTCAGCCTTCATAATTGAGCAAATTGTATTTTCTGTCACACGATACACATAATGCTATGTTTTCAAGTGAGAAAGTACACCTCAAAATATTGTCTGTCATTATATTCATATACTCTTCGATGCTCATTATACTATGAGGCCATAAATTTGCAGACAACACATGTCATGTCAAAGGCACTTTACAAAGACAATTCACTAAATTAACTGCCTTTGGATAATCATTAAGTCAGACTGAAATATTGTTGCTACTCTTCCTCACCTAGAATTTCTGGGTATTTGAAAATTTACATATCTAAAGGGAGATTGTCTCATTAATGCTCACATAATCCTCTTGCTGCAGCCAAATTTCTGTAAGGCAAAATAAATCAACGTGATTATTACAATTCAAGTCATTAACTAACAGACCTTTTGAAGAAAGGGATTTTCTGTTAAATAAACCATATTAAATCAATGTAACTTTTTCCCCAATGGGGAGTTATTTTAGTTTTAATTACATTATCATGATTTACTCCTTTGGGATTCTTTTTTAATTTCTTTGATTTTGGCCGTGGGCAAAACACTGTCTGGATGGACTAATGTGTGGGTAACAGTAGAGAAGCTACAGAGAGTTGTGTTAAACTATGACTCTGCTTCCTGGTCTGCACCTTAAGCTGTCAGGGTGTTTGTTAATGACTTAGGAATTGTTGTAAATTATGATACATGTTTATGCTTAATCAGAGTTTCAACAGATTGTATTGGAATTATTGATAATAAATAATTAAAGGACAAATTTCCCTGTATTGAAAAAGTGACAACTATTAAAATGCATTAACAGTTTGGTTGTTGTGGTGTGAATTATTTTCATGTACATTAAGAGATGGGTTTCATCCTCTATCAAATCGCCACTGTAACTGAGTCAAACTTCAGTCCTGATGGGCTGGTGTATCTGAATATCTTCAGGATGTTACCGGGTTCTGCAAAGGCCTGGTAATGAGCACATCATTGGAATAGGACCTGCTGGAGCTAGGTATTATTTAAACCATGCAGGAAAACTGGTCCTCCAGCACTGGTGCTTGACATCACTAATCTCATTTTGCCACATAAGTTTGCATACAAATACTGTGATTATTCATTACTACAGTCTTTGACATTTTCCAAAATTTGGTAACCCAGAAAAAGATCACACTGAAATGACCTATATCAGCACAGTACTAAATGCCATCAATGAAGACAGAGGGTGGTGCCTGTTTGGCTCTGCTTGTCATTCCTGTTATAGAAAAAGTTCATCACAATTTCAGAAAATGACCATCACAGATTGGACTTTGTTGATTTAAATATACACTATATTGCCAAAAGTATTTGCTCACCCATCCAAATTATTGGAATCAGGTGTTCCAATCACTTCCATGGCCACAGGTGTATAAATTCAAGCACCTAGGCATGCAGACTGTTTTTACAAACATTTGTGAAAGAATGGGTCGCTCTCAGGAGCTCAGTGAATTCCAGCGTGGAACTGTGATAGGATGCCACCTGTGCAACAAATCCAGTCGTGAAATTTCCTCGCTCCTAAATATTCCACAGTCAACTGTCAGCTGTATTATAAGAAAATGGAAGTGTTTGGGAACGACAGCAACTCAGCCACGAAGAGGTAGGCCACGTAAACTGACGGAGCGGGGTCAGCGGATGCTGACGCGCATAGTGCGAAGAGGTCGCCAACTTTCTGCAGAGTCAATCACTACAGACCTCCAAACTTCATGTGGCCTTCAGATTAGCTCAAGAACAGTGCGCAGAGAGCTTCATGGAATGGGTTTCCATGGTCGAGCAGCTGCATCCAAGCCATACATCACCAAGTGCAATGCAAAGCGTCGGATGCGGTGGTGTAAAGCACGCCGCCACTGGACTCTAGAGCAGTGGAGACGCGTTCTCTGGAGTGACGAATCGCGCTTCTCCATCTGGCAATCTGATGGACGGGTCTGGGTTTGGCGGTTGCCAGGAGAACGGTACTTGTCTGACTGCATTGTGCCAAGTGTAAAGTTTGGTGGAGGGGGGATTATGGTGTGAGGTTGTTTTTCAGGAGCTGGGCTTGGCCCCTTAGTTCCAGTGAAAGGAACTCTGAATGCTTCAGCATACCAAGACATTTTGGACAATTCCATGCTCCCAACTTTGTGGGAACAGTTTGGAGCTGGCCCCTTCCTCTTCCAACATGACTGTGCACCAGTGCACAAAGCAAGGTCCATAAAGACATGGATGACAGAGTCTGGTGTGGATGAACTTGACTGGCCTGCACAGAGTCCTGACCTCAACCCGATAGAACACCTTTGGGATGAATTAGAGCGGAGACTGAGAGCCAGGCCTTCTCGTCCAACATCAGTGTGCGACCTCACAAATGCGCTTCTGGAAGAATGGTCAAAAATTCCCATAAACACACTCCTAAACCTTGTGGACAGCCTTCCCAGAAGAGTTGAAGCTGTTCTAGCTGCAAAGGGTGGACCGACGTCATATTGAACCCTATGGATTAGGAACGGGATGTCACTTAAGCTCATATGTGAGTCAAGGCAGGTGAGCAAATACTTTTGGCAATATAGTGTATGTCTACATACATATATTTATACATGTGTATATATATATATATATATATATATATATATATATATATATATATATATATATATATATATATATATATATATATATATATTTATTTATTCATACATGTATATACATATACACATACACTCACCGGCCACTTTATTAGGTACACCTGTCCAACTGCTCGTTAACACTTAATTTCTAAGCAGCCAATCACATGGCAGCATCTTAGTGCATTTAGGCATGTAGACATGGTCAAGACAATCTCCTGCAGTTCAAACCGAGCATCAGTATGGGGAAGAAAGGTGATTTGAGTGACTTTGAACGTGGCATGATTGTTGGTGCCAGAAGGGCTGGTCTGAGTATTTCAGAAACTGCTGATCTACTGGGATTTTCACGCACAACCATCTCTAGGGTTTAGGACTAGGTCAGATAACGCACAGAGCCTGTTACTATCCAGTCATGACCCAACCGGCAGGAGTTATGTTCAACCTAGAGTTGGAGAGATTGATGAAGGTGAAATGCAGTCCGAGGACCCAGAAAAAGAAGTGATGGAAGAAATGCACCCAGCGACTGAGCACCACAATTGTTACTGTCTATTAAAATGTGGTTGCTTCTCGCGGTTATGGTTATTGTAATAATTAAATATGAAAATCGCATTATAATGCATGTTGCATGGGTTGTTTTCCAGACGAAACAGCAGATGACCAAGTTCTGTGTTGCTGTTATGGTTAAATTAAATTATTAAATTGTTTATAAAAGTTATTGCTGTCGGTGTGTTCTTAAAGTCTTTTAACTTTTTTAGAAAAAAGGAATGTTTCATGATTTGGATGGATTGATGAAATTCTACAGAAAAAGACTTTGGAATGGTAACCTGGAGATTACTTTTTCAAGTTTTCTCAAAGTGTAAATTAACATGAATATAATAAATGAAAGATGTAATTTCCCTACACACACATACATATACATACACATATATATATATATATATATATATATATATATATATATATATATATATATATATATATATATATATATATATATATATATATATATATATATATGTGTGTGTGTGTGTGTGTGTGTGTGTGTGTGTGTGTGTTTCATTACATTATCCAAACCTGAACATACTTTGTATTTTTTTTTTTTTTAAGTTGTCCCACACAAGGATCACTTCTATCACAAATATGAGATTTACAAAAAGTGGCATCTGAGCATCATTTGTTGTGATCAAATTATTATATTTGTACGTTGGTGTTTGAACAGGACTTCTTTTAACTTGTGTGACTTTTACATAGAAATGCAACATGTAGATGGAATTTTGCCTCAACTCTTCCCTCCATCCGCCTGCAGCAGTATCTTTGGCCCCGATGATAAGGTGGTCATTTTATCAACTCCTCTGTCTGCTCCCTGGAACAAAATGACATGTAAAGCATATTTCTGTTAAGTCAACAGGCAAAATAACTGTTCTGTATAATTATGCCTGTATTGTTCTTCAAGTGAATTCTACTTTAAACCGTATTATACTGTACTGTAAATTAACTATATTAGTTATTGAGTATTAAAACAAAACGTTTGCAGTATTGACAGCCCAGTACAACTGGACTAATGTTATTTCTTCAGCTGCATTAAGCTTTAACAGCTCTAATCCTTTGTAATAAACTGTTTGAGAATAAATAGATCTGATTAGTGAGGGATACGGCTATCAGTACAGTAAGATGTAGGTTAAAATAAAAAATAGACATTTGTATGAAGGCTTTTAACTGTTGATGAACATCACGTATCAACAGGTTAGCTCTAAGCTTTAGCTTTAGCAGGTCCTACACATTCCGGTGGCTCCGTTACCGTCATGTATTTTAATAGATGTTCATAAAAAAACAAAACAAAAAAAACTTACATTTAAAGGTGTTCTCCGCACTACTGTCGGCGCTGCTGCTGCTTTCGGTTGTCCGTAACCTGAAGAAAATCCGACTTTCTTCCTCTTCTTCTTCTTCTTCAACTACTAAAAAAAAGAAAAAAAAGAAGCGCGCAAAGCACCTCGGGAAATCTAGTGGGAGGCGAGGCCACTAAGGACGGTAGCGATGCATCCTCAGAATTCGGGGAAAAGGAGGACGCATTTTAAGCGTCCTCAGAATTTTTGCCAAAGGGGACGGCCTCCGCGCAGCGTTGTAACGTCACCGGCCTCAAAATGCGTCCTACCAAGTACGCAGCCTGCGAATTGAGACGCAGCCCTAGAGCCACCATCTTGATTATTGTTTCCATCACGAAATAAGCAAAGACACCCAGAGCTACAAGCTGGGCGGGAACAAGGAAAATACAATTTTTACTGAGAGAGAATACAGTTCATGGTTACATGCGGCTTCCTGAGTTCAGAGCTCAATCTTACCTCCTGCATCAGCTGTTCATCTTCGCAGGACTGGAAAGACCCTTGAGCAGCACAGTCGATCAGTATTAAGAGTAAAACAGGCAGAATACATACAAAGTACAACTGAGTTTGAGGCTCACGCTCTGGATAAAAGTTTGAGAGAGGATAAGTCGGAAAATGTAGATATAAATTTGACACAGGCCTGAGGTGAAGTTGGTTCTTAGTTACATCAAATCTCTACTAAGGATATGAGCTATATACCAATTTTAAGCAGAACTCGAGGAAATCCAACCGCTGCTCTCTTTGTCCTGCCGTCTCGTGCTCTGCCCTGGGCTCTTCCATCCTCGGTCCCAGTCACGGTCACAGACAGCTGAGTAGAAAGGGACTTCACTCTCCTCTAGTAGAAGAAATGTCTTCGTCCTGTCGCTGTTCTAAATCTGAATGAAGGTCATCAAATTCCCAAGTGAGGTGTTGTTTTAAATGCGATGGGGACATAGATCAATACTGCTGCTTTATTAATCCCACTGCTGTATTTCTATGAATCATACTAATTTACAGGGGTTGACGTTAAGGATTTTTACCACTTGCCCAAAGGGCAAGTGACTTTCACATTTACTTTGCCCAGAAACAATTTTTATTTGCCCAGTATAATGTTTGATAAATATAGTTCCTAATATTCATTTTTGTATATATGTCAATGAAACATTTTTGTTTTTTTAAAAGTTTTTTGTAATTCAGTATTTTTTAAGTTTACAGGTTTCTGGTGTGTATATGCATGCGTCACATAATGAACTCAAGCCTACATTACCGTGTTAACATGCTTTTCAATCCTTCCTGCACATTCTTTTCAAACTAAACTTTGCTTTAAACTGTTGTGTGC